CCCCAAAACCCCAAAACCCCAAAACCCCGTGAATATAAATGGCATTTTTCAAGACTGTAATGCCAGTGAAATATATATTAATTTAGAACTTTTTTATAAGATAATGAGTAACAATTTATTTTTAATGAACTCAACTTTAGAATTTATAAACTAAATTAATGATAAAGAAATCAATCAAGTTATTAAGATAACAGCCTGAAGAATTAAATGAGATATCTCTTGATTATTAGAAGATGGACTTCAGATATGCGAAAATTCGTCAGAGACAAGACCAAGATTAATAGTTCAAGAAGCTATTTAAGGGTCATATTTCCGTGGTAAAAAACTATTTAGTTTTCAAAAGTTCTAAATAACCCGATATCGGCAGCAGCTACTAGGATGTCTGTAGCATATTTCAATGGCTTGATATTTCGATGTGGGTCATGAATGTGAAAATATAAAATGAAACAAGCAACTGGGGTTTTGAGATTTAGTTGTCAAAAGAAGATTCTTCAAGTTCCTCTCGTTTACATTTGCTTTTTAAATCCTTAGAGAATCGCTTCGCACTATAGAGTTAATTGTCAAGAAATTGTCTAATAGAAAATCCAACTTTGCAAAACAATTATACCTTAATTAAAAGATTAGGCCATGGAGGTTAAGCGAATGTGGATTTATATTAAATAAAAGATGATCCTGACAATTTATTTGCTATTAAAATATTTAAAAGAGGGCCCACGGATTCCTGCAAAGACATTTACAGAGAAATAAAATTTCTTAGAGAATTTGAGATCTGCAATAATATTGTATAGCTTCATGAGGTGTATAAGAGTAGAGAGAAGATTTATTTAGTTATGAATTATGCCAGTCATGGACCCTTGTTAGAACATTTACAGAAGAACCCTAATCTCTAAGAATCTGACATCCGCTTAATTATGGGCTAACTATTGTTAGCTCTAGATTTTATGCACAAAAAATAAATAGTACATAGGGATATAAAGCCCGATAATATATTAGTCATGGACAAGGACAACCTTCAAGTTTGTATAGCAGATTTAGGATTTTCCTGCAGTTTGAATGAGCCTGACGTTTTACAGAAAAAATGTGGCACTCCCGGATATGTTGGACCAGAAGTATTAAAAGGCCAGAAGGCTAGTACCAAAAGTGACATTTTTAGTTTAGGGTCCTTGTTTTATAATCTATTGGCAGGACAGATGCTTTTTGGGGGTCGCACAGCCAAATAAGTATTATAAAATAATTAAATCTTAGATGCGTAAATCATCATTGATAGAGACAAACTTAAAGTTTCTAAAGAAAGTCTATCATTACTGAAGTGGATGGTACATAAAGATCCGTATAAGAGGCCATCTGCTGAAGAATGCTTAAATGTAAGACATTGCTTATTTAATATTTTAATAGCATTAATGGTTTTCAGAAGATATAGAAGCTCTCTAATTCTCAATTTAATTAAACAATGTTGCATCACGCATCAAAGCTCAGAATAGCTAGATCTATGATTAAATTGTATAAGAACCTATCTTCTAGTCATTTATAATGGCTCCAAATTATTACTGAAAAGGATCTTCATCTGGACTCAAATTAATCCTTCCTCATGAAAATGAAGATTCTTCTTAGGGAGGAGATAGTAAGTCAGCCAAAAGGGAAAATTCAGCTATAACCCCATCTAAAGATAACTTTAAAATCTGCTATAGTAAAGCACTCTAAGAACACCGTAGAAAGACACCTAATAGTACCTCGAATCGGCATCTGTACGATCTGCATATAAACAAGGCAAATTATGATTTTTAAGATGCAGCAAACTAAGGTCTGCCCAAAAGAGTCTAAACTGCCAATGCATTACCTAAAAAAGAAAGTGATAAAAAAAGTTTATTTTTCAAGAAAAAGTTAGCTCCAGCTGACCCTAATATGCTGCACGTTGATAGTCCACTTTTACCAAGAAAGAAAAAATAATAATCATCTGAAGAAAAGGATTGCAAAGATGAAGAAATAAAGCTACCTTTAAAATTGATAGAGTTACTAGAAGAATCAAAGAATTACAATGAAGTTGAATTCGAAGAGTACCCAGAGGAAGATGATATATTTATTGAAAATATCACAGAGAAACTAAAAAATCTAGTTGAAATTAAAGACATTCTAGAAAAGCATAATACTCTTGGATCTAAAAATAAAAGCAATAACCGTAAAATTACTCGCAGAATTTTTCAACCATAAAATTCTCCAGTGTAAATTTCATTCACAAAATGAATAAATGAAAAATCTAAACTCATTCTCATTTTAATCCTTGATGATTGAATTATTTAAAAAATTTTAATAGTGCTTATAATATATTTAGGTTAATTTTTATTAATACATTTTATTACCTCATTAAATATGCCTCTTTTCGGGGTTTTGGGGTTTTGGGG